GTGCATCTTTGCAGTTGTTCAGAGGATCTAAAGTCAGATTCCAGCATTGTGGGTGAAGACGTTAAATCACGGCGTCACGTCTGCAGAAGCTCGACTGAACAAAGCTCCCCGTTTGTTGGCCGTGTTGTGTTTCTGCGCTCAGTTTGTTCCCAGACTGCAGTCGAGCTGCTTTTAGGCTGCAGCTGCTGCAGGATGAGTCGCAACAAGGAGGTGAAGGGTCGCCGCAGCACATGCAGCAGGCAGTCGCTGCAGCTGATCAGCTGGATCCTCGCAGCCTGACCTCATACTTCAGAGTTCATCACATCCAAAGTGGGCCGGCGTTGTGTAACCCTCAGAGCGCTGCACAGATTCACCGTCGCATCACAGCCTGAGCTCTCATTGGCCGTCTGAGTTGAAACCTTAAACAGCTCTTCCTCTGGCCCGAGCCTCCTCCTGCTGCCCGTTATGCGAGAAAACAAACGGAGGAGCGTCTGAAACATGAAACTGGTCCCAGAGCTGCTCAGTGATTGTCGAGCTTCACACAAAGAGTCGTGTGATCGGCGCTGAAGGAAGAAGGAAGCTTTTTGTTTTGAGCCCGAAGGAGCAGAACATCGAATCATCGCCTCAGCATGATCCAGGCAACACGTGGACGCCCTCGGATCTGCTCCAGTTTCATCAAACCCAGCTCAGAGTTAGCTAAAGACAGAATCCAGTCTGATAACACCAAGAAAACTGTTTTAGAAACCAATAAAAAACCTTCATTTAGGCATCATTTAGTGACCAAACAACAGGTTGATTCACAGAAAGTTTTAAACGATGACCCGTTATCTCGCCGAGGTTCTGTAGAAACCTGAGCCTTCTGTTCCCGGCTGTAGTCGTCTAACGAGGCGCTTCATGTCTGACGTCGTGTTCTGATTCTGCTGAACCTCGCTGTGTTCTGAGCAGGTCGAGCTTCACTCGTTCCTCTTTGGGTTTCCTCCAACACGACGGTGCTGTTGTTCCTGCAGCTCCAACCAGCAGCTCTTCCACATGAGCACAAAGACGAGTCCACAGCATCTGGAGACTGCTCCTCTTTGTTCACTGCCGATCAGGCCCAGATAAGTCCTGGTCCTGGTCCTGGTCCTGGTCCTGAGCTCAGCCAGCAGCAGCAAAATGCAAATCAGCTTCGTTCTCTGCTCACAATCCACCAGCGGTGTCGCTGCTCGTCTGCACGGCCAGACGTCAAGATTACAGCCAGGAAGTAGAAACTCCACGAAGACGAGGAAGAGACCAGCGCCGAGTTCTGCCGTTGAAACAGAACTCTGCCTCAAACCGTCGCTTCACGTCACAACACAAAGCTAAGCAGCATCACACAGAACAGGCACCACGGAGCAGAACATCTTCAGAACCACCGACGGACCAACAGACAGCCGATTAATGTGAACAGCTGGAGTCCAGTCCTTCTAGCTCCGGTTCGGTCTCCACCAGCTCCCACATCGGCTCAATAACGGCTTCATTCAACAGCAGGATGGAGTAGAAACACAGAAAGAGGCTGTGACGGCTCATTAAAGACCAGAACCAGCAGCAGAGCTTCATCAGGACGAGCTTAAATCATTGTTTCTCATCTCAAGCTTCTCCAAAGC